GCGGTGCGTCAGCCTCAAGTTCCTGCCCTCGCTACGCCAGATAGTACGGCCGGCCCCGTAAGGTGTTTGCTTTGCACAGGCTGACCGGGGTTCAAGTCAACCCTCGGGAATAATCCCTCAAAAAAATCAGCCCTCCGAGGAGTGACCCCTGGGCATCTCCTCGCGTGGTAAACACCCCTCCACCCCCCCCAAAAAACGTTCCGACCCTGAGGGCTGGTCCAGTTTTCTTTTCTTTTCTCTTTTTGGCTTTTGGGGTCACACCCAGCAATGCTCAGGGGTCTGCACTGAGGTGTTGCTCAGGGTTCTGGCTCTGCATTCAGGAATCACTGCTGGCGGTGAGCAGGGGACCATATGGGATGCCAGGGATGGAACCAGGTAGGCTGGGTGCAAGGCAAATTCTCTCCCTATTGTACTATCACTCCAGCCCCTGGTTCTGAGTTTTCTAGAATCTACCCTATTCTGTGCTCTGACATTTTTTGTTTGTTTGGGGCCTACGCCCGACTGTGCTCAGGATTTACTCCTGGCTCTCTGCACTCAGGGATCACTCCTAGAGTGCTGAGGTTACCATTTGGGTTGCTGGGGGTTGAACCCGAGTCTTGCCCCATAAAAGGTAAGCACGCTACCCACTGTACTAACTCTCCAGTCTCCCAGACAGTTCTAGGTTCTTCCATCCCAGTTTCCCCCTAAAATTGCCCTCATTGGGCATCCAGACACCCTAAATGCTGACATAAACCTGGTCGTTCTCTTTCCTGCTCAGATCCTGCCATGGCTTCTCAGGGCCAGGATCGGGACAGTTCAAACTCCACTGTACGGCCTTCAGGCCCTTTGATTCGATCCCCTCTTTCCCCTCTTTTCTCTCGACGATTTTCAGACTGAGACTCTTCCCAGAACCCCCCTTCCTTGTCTCAGGTGTTTTGTTTTTACCCTGAAATGCCTCTACACAAGTTTTGTTAGATCTCCAGCCCCATCTCAAAAGCAACTCAACTCAGGCATTCAACAAAGAACTGTTTCCTTAGACTGTAGAAATGGTCCAGGGGTTAAGGTGCCTGACTTGCATGCAGCTGGACCCCATCTGACTCCTGGAGCACTGGCATATGGTCCCCCATGCACCATCAGAAGAGTTCCCCTGGGTGTAGAGGCAGGAGTTGTGTCTGAGCACCAGCGGGTGTGACCCCAACATTCCCCCACAAAAGAATTTTTTTCTGAGGCTGAGTAGTGGTAAGGCACTTGCCTTTTACATGGCCATATTGGGTTCGATCCCGGACACCCTATAGGGTCCCCTGAGCACCACCAGGAGTGGTTCCTGAGTACAGAACCAGGAGTATCCCCTGAACAAGCCAGGTATTGCCCAAACACCAAATGAATAAATTTAATTTATTTTTTAAAAAAGAAAGAAAGAAAAACAGAGTCACAGACTGAAATGACAGAGAGGAGGCGCAGAAGTAAGCTAGAGGCAGAGAGAATCAATCAGCAGAGAAGGGGGAGCCCTGCCCCCAGCCCTCCCCACCCTCCTGCCTTCCAGGCTTTTGACATCTCCCTGTGAAAGCTCTCAGAGAAAGATGAGCCCCATTAACTGCACCAAAGCTGGGAGAGCCGAGTACTAGTCAGGCCTCTCTCAGCCTCCCCCTCTCATCCCCTGGGAAGTGGGTGCTGGGAAGCCAGGAGCCTGGGGATCAAGGTCACCCAGCTCACGTGCATCCGGACTGGCACCTCGAGGGCCACTGGGCGAAGACCAAGGCCCAGAATAGACATGTTTCTGGGTGCCCCCTCCTCTCCCCACCAGCCCACTTCCCATGATCCTCCTCGGGTACCAGGTACCTGCGCCCCTCCCCCAGGCCTCTGAGCCTGCAGGATCTGCCTGCCCCACAGTGCACCGTGGAGACCACCCTCAGAAGCCAGCCTTGCTACAGGCTTCACCCTTGCTCTCTCCTGAGCGTCTGGGGAGGGAAGGAGACGGAGAGGCGGGGCTTCCGCTTTGTTCCTGTCAATCAACCAAAGGCAGTCATCAGAGGGTGATAAATGTCCCACCCACCTGACTTGCCCCTTGGCACCCTGCACCCCTTGATTTTTGTTTACTTTTTCAGGCCTTCCCAGGGACATCATGAATACAGGGTGTGTTTTATTTTGATTGATTTATTTTTTTTGCCTCACCGAGAGGTACTCAGGGCTTATTCCTGGATCTGCACTTGGGGATCACTTTTGCTCTCAGCGGACCACATGGGAAACCAGGAATTGAACCCTGGTAGTCTGCATGCAAGGTTGGCTCTACCAGCTGTACTCTCTTCGGTCCCTAGGGCTTGAAATATGCACCCCGTCCCTCCCCCCCCCCTGCAGGTCAGGAATGGTAACTAAGGTATGATTGACATTTGTGGCTTAAGGAGGCTTGTGGAGGAAATGGTGAGAATCTCAAGCATTAGCCTTGAAGTTACTGGGGAATCTGAAACCCCACCCTCCCCCACCCCCATTCTCCATCTCCCACCCTGCGCCCTCTCAGCAGATATGCCCCATCCTTACAGGTCCTTATCTAGCCAGGGGTTCTCATCCCCACTCCCAACTCTCTGCAAACCAGCTCTTTCTGTTTTGGTTTTTGGGCAGTTCTCCAGGTTTCCTCCTAGCCCTGCACTTAGGGATCACTCCTAGAGAGAGAACCTGGATTTGCCATGTATAAAGCAAGCTCCCAACCTGCTGCTTTTTCCAGCTTACATTGGTTCTTTCTTACGTGTGCGTGTGCGTGTGTGTGTGTGTGTGTGTGTGTATGTGTGTGTGTGTGTGAAGAGGAAGGTTGGGCCACACTCCTGAGGTGCCCAGGACTAACTCCTGGCTCTGTGTTCAGGGATTACTAAAAGAGGTGCTCAAGAGACTATATGGGGTGCCAGGGATTAAATCAGAGTAGGGAGCCAGAGCCATAATACAGCAGGTAGGGTGTTTGCCTTGCACATGGCTGACCCAGGTTCGATCCCTGGCATCCCATATGGTTCCCTGGCACTGCAAGGAGTAATTCCTGAGTGCAGAGCCAGGAGGAACCCCTCAGCATCGCTGGTGTGACCCCGAGAGAGAGACAGACAGAGAGAGAGAGAGTGAAAGAGAGAGAGAGAGAGAGAGGAGAGAAATGAATCAGAGCCAGCAGCCTGCAAACCAATTGCCTTACCCACTGACTATCTCTCTGGTTCCTTTCTTGTCATATTTTAGCCCAAACATCACTTCTATAGAGCTTCACTGATTCCGTCTTTGCTCATATTCCTTTGTCTCATTATTGCTGTAATAGCAGGATCTGAAATGATCTCACCAGCTCTGAACCTGGGTTCTCATTTGTGAACAGGGCAAGGGGTGCATTTCCACAGCAGCCGCAGCCTCATGGACCTAGACTGACTCGAGGAAGGGCAAAGCACCTGATTCAAGAGCAGAGGCTAATGTTGGGTTAATCTTGGGCTCAATACCAGGGAGAGAGCCAGCAGTAGGCCTGGGCCCTGGAAGGGTCTGGGTTCCCCAAAAATGGGCTTCCTGGTGAAAAGTATGGAGTGCTTGTCACGTAGTAAGTGCCAAGCTATTGTAATTTTGTTTGATTTACCTTCCTCAAACCTGCACCTAGCCATTGGTGCCAAAGAGAAAGTGCAGGGGTTAAGGTGCCTGCCCTGGGGTCAGAGCAACAAGCAGTGGGAGGGCATTTGCCTTGGACTCTGACGACCCGTTTGATCCCTGGCACCCCATATAGTCCCCCAAGACCCATCAGGAGTAATCCCCAAGTGTAGAGCCTTGAGCACAACTGGGTGTGAAGCAAAAAAAAGAAGAAGAAGAAGAAGAACGTGTATGCCTTGCCTAAGGCCGTCCCAGTTGCTATGACCCCCCGCACCCCATAGTCCCTCAGTTTCTTCATGGGGAGCAAGCCCTGAGCACCACAAGGTGTGGCCCCTCTCCCTTAAACACAAACACACAGCCTAGGGCATGTCAGGGTGCACCTCTCAAGGGAAACTCGGTGAGAAAATGGTCTGTGGTCCCAGGGCCTGTCCATCTGGGATGATGAGGGCCCCATGAGGCAGAGAGAGAAAAGGGGCTCAGGGCCCGGAACAAGCAAGTTATGGGCGGGATTAATCATCAGAGAAGGCTGTTCTTGTTTTTCTGTTTTTGCTTGTTTTTAGACTACACCTGGCAATGCTTGGGTAATTCCTCCCTCCGCACTCTGGGATCACTCCTGGTGGTGCTCAGGGGACCCACCATAGAGGATGCCGGAAACTGAACCTGGGTTAGCCGGATGCACGGCAAGCGCCCTTCCCGCTGGACTATTGCTCTGGCCCCTATAGACTCAGTTTTTTTTTTTTTTAATTTCAGTGCCAAGGATCGAAGCAGGCACCTTACACGTGTCAGACAAGGGCTCTACAGCTGAGCTACATCCCTGTTTTTTTCCTTGTTGTTATTCACTTTGATTTTGGAGTGGATGGCAGAGTGGTGAGGTGGGTGTGTAGAGGGTAGTGAAGATTCTAGACCAGAGCCCTAAGAGGCTTAGGGGCGGGACAAAGGTGATGGGGGCGGGAAGAGTCTCGACAGCCACAGGATCGCAGAGGCGGAGCTAAAGCCCCGGGGGCGGGTCTATATCTGATAAACAAGGGCGCAAACCACAGAGCTAGAATAAGCGCCTGAGGGCGGATGCGAGGCCCCGGTTCCTGCGGACCCATGTTTTGCGATGGGAGGCTTTAGAGAAGTTCTCTAACAAGTGAGGCAGAAGGTTTGGGGCCTCAGGCAGTGTCTTTACCTGCCCCCATCTTCTCAGGATGGGGGTAGGGTGGGATTATACTTGAGGCTGGAAAGCAAGGGAGGTCACGCCCCTTTCGACCCTTATTGGTGGAGACCCCTGCGCGACAGACTCTTATTGGCCGAGAGAGAAAACGCGCCGGTTGTGGGCGGGGCCAGACGGTACCGATGAGGCATCGCGGCGCAGCCAATCGTGGCCCGAGGATTGTGTTGGAGCTCCCGGCAGGGGGTGTCCCGACCCCCCACACACACCCTTTCCGGGCATCCTGGAGGATGACCCTGGTGCCAGGCCCGGCGCCGGCCGTCTGATGCCGGGCGGGCTGAGCTGGGGATGCTGGAACGGAGGACGTTGCTATGGCAACGGGAGGCAGGGCCTGGGGGGGGGACCGGGCCCGGGCTGGGGCCGGGGGGGCCGGCGGAGGCTGTGGCGGGGCGATGGCGGAACGCGGCCCAGCCTTCTGCGGCCTCTACGACACCTCTTCGCTGCTTCAATACTGCAACGGTGAGACCCGTCCTCGCATCCGACCCTGGCCCCGCCCAGGGCTGGATGCATCGCCCCCACTGCCCTAACCCTCTCCTTCCAACTCCCCATCCTCGCTCCTGGCCAGTCATCCCTTCCTTTCCCCCATGGGCATCCTAAGATCAGAATAAGATCTCCAGAATAAAGCCCTGTGTCACCCTCCTGGACCCTCCCCTGCTTCCCTGGTGGTTGGATGCTGATGCCTTCGGGAACTAAGGGCTGGAAGGGGGCAGGGCCGGGGGTGCACCCTGCAGCTACTCTGCCCTCCTGATCTGCTCTCAATCCTCAGGGTTCTTCCTTGGGTGGGGGATGGGTGAAAATCAGTATTGCTTAGAGGGTCTGGGAAGGTTACCTGAAGACTCCGCCTCTGTTATACCGCCCCCAAAATCTCAGATCCTCTCCTTCTCCCCACTTGAGACCATCCCTTATCCTTTGCGAAATGGGGGGAGATACCAGAAAGGCCCCTGGGGGTAGCGGGCCCAGAGTGGGGAAGCTGGAGGTTGGGGGGATGCAGGTGAGTATGGGGGGTTTCTGAGCAAATGAGCAGAGGATTGCAGGAGGACTTAGTCATGGGGGTGGTGCCAACAGGCCCCGCCTCACGTGGGACTAACTGCCATCTCTGGATGGGGTGGGGGGTCAAGGTGAGTGCATCTCCATTTCCATCAGACCCCTCATATCCCTCCAGAAGGGATTCCCTTCCAGTTGGAGGGTCTCTCCTATAAAGACACACCCCAGAGTCAGAGGACCCCAAATGCCCACGTCTCTCCTGGGCCCCTGTCAGATGCAAGATGATGCTGGTGTGTGAACCAAGCCCAAGTACCCCCCTCCCCCAAGGAATAGGAAGTCTCTAAACCTCAGTCCCCCTTGTCTGAAAATGGGTATAACCTTACAGCCAGTGGGGCTGTGAAGATCTTCTATTTCGGGTTTGCTGAGCACTCCCTGGGAGGGAGCTGAGCCAGCCCCAGGTCCACGTGAGCTCACAATAACATATGTCTTAATTTCTTCTTTTTGTGGATAATAGATTCGTTAAGGTTGGTCCGTGGGGGCTCACAAGGTGGAGGTCCATCCCTCAGCACCCCCCCCAGCATTGGTTCTGCTACCATTTGCTGATCTCTGACACATCGCCCCAACCTGAGACCTTAGTTTTCCTCCTTTGCAAAATCAGATGCCTCCAGGACGCTCCGAGGCGCGCGCCTCGTCGTCAGAGTTCCAAGTCCTGGCAGGCCTCTCCCGCCGACTTCGGGAGCCCCCCCTGGCAGTAGGTGCAGGCGGACGGAGTGGCGCTGCTGGGTGGGGGGCAGGGCAGGAAAGGCCCAGCAGGCGATTGGGCCGTGGGGGGGGGGAGGGCTGGGCGGGGAGGGAGGGAGGGACAGCTGCACTGCGGAGTCCAGCGGACGGGCGGGGCGGCCAACGACGCGGGATGGCAGGTGCGACCTCCACGCCCTGTGGCCCTGTGATTGCCGTCACTACCTTGACTTCCAGCGGCCTGAGAGCCAGGGCTTCCCCCGTGGCAGGCCGTGGGTCTCGCGTGGGTCGGAGTGGTCTCGTGGCGGAGGGGGAGGGGAGCTCCCCCTAAGACCTCGACCCCTTCCACTTCGGGAAGGCGATGAAGGAGTTAGTTCTTTTGGCTGCACCCACGGGCTGGACAGAAAAGGAAGGACCGAATCCAGGGCGTGGCGCGGGGATGGAAGCGAAATAAAGCAGTGAGACGAAGGAGAGAAACTGCCTGGGCTGCAGAGTTTCAAATCCCCCACCTTCAAGTCCCCCACCCGCATCCTTCTCCCTTCCCCGGGCCTCCTGGGTCATCCAACTTGCGGGGTGCAATCCCTAAAGTCGGCCACCAGGGGTCGCCAAAGCTCTGTCCTTGCAGCTGGCTCCGGGGGTCGAACCCAGTGGTTGAGAAGCTGCGAAGCTGACGGGACTAGGCGGGAAATTTTTTGCGGAGGGGTTGTGGGGGAGGGCTCGGAAAAATCTGCGGGGCAGAGTGGAAAGGATTAGCCCCCGCAACGAAATATTAGATATTAGAATAGTGGGGATCCCCCTTGAGCGTCCCGGATACGTTGGCCTCACTCCTACTTAGTGATTAGTCCTAGCATCTTAAAACGCGAGCGGAGAGTCGGTCCTTCGTAGAATCTCGTAGAATGGAAGAAGGTAAGAGAGGAAGCGTCTTCCCGAAGGACGCACCTCCCCTGGGGCCCTGCGCCGGAGAAGCGCGGGGGCCCAGGACTGAGCCGCCTGCAGAGTTCCTAAAGCCCCTCTTCTTTGCCCGCCTCCTGGCGCGAGAGCTCCAGGTTGGCAGAGGGGTCGAGGGGTGACCGAGCGCGGGGAAGGTGGGTGGGATCCCCGTAGAGTCCCTTCGAGGTCCGGGGTGGTCCCCCGCCCCGCCGCCGCACTCAGCGCTCCCCTGCCTTCCAGATGACAATTTGTCGGGCACCAGCGGCATGGAGGTGGACGACCGCGTGTCGGCGCTGGAGCAGCGTCTGCAGCTGCAGGAAGACGAGCTGGCGGTGCTGAAGGCCGCGCTCGCCGACGCGCTCCGACGGCTGCGCGCCTGCGAGGAGCAGGGCGCGGCCCTGCGCGCCAGGGGCACCCCCAAAGGCCGGGCCCCTCCGCGCCTCGGCACCACGGCCTCGGGTATCGCATCCAGACGGGACGGGGTCGGTGGGGGAGGACGCGGGCCCAAACGTCCCACTCACGCGCGCGCTCTGTCCTCCGACCCTTCCCACCCCCACGCCACCAGTGTGCCAGCTCTTGAAAGGCCTTCCCACCAGAACGCCCCTCAATGGCTCCGGACCCCAGCGGCGCGTGGGCGGCTATGCCACGTCCCCATCCTCCCCCAAGAAGGAGCCCACTGCTGGGCGCAGGTAAGTCTGGGTCTCTCCAGATCCTTCCCAGACCTCGTGGGAGGGGGCTGGAGTGATAGGACAGCGGAGAGGGGACTTGCCTTGCACGCGAGTTCGAACCCCAGCAACCCATAGGGTCCCCAGCCTCTCCAGGAGTGATCCCTGAGCACAGAGCCAGGAGAAAGTCCTAAGCACCACGCGTCCCCGGACCAGAAAAAAAAAAAAAGATCTCGTGGGAAATGCAGGAGATTCTATGCAAAGGGTTGAACTCCAGCAGCCAAGAGGGGCCACGAGGGCTTCCCTTGCCTCCGCCATCCGGCTGCTGACCCGTAACTGTGCCCTTCCTCTCAGTGCTCGTCGCTATTTGTCACCCGATCGCCTCGCCTCCGTGCGCCGCGAGGACCCGCGCAGTCGCACCACATCCTCCAGCAGCAACTGTAGCGCCAAAAAGGAAGGGTGAGTGGTCCAGGCGAGGTCACGTCCCGGGGGTGGCGGGCGGTACCTCTAATCAACCGGGAAAAAGATGGGAAGTGGAGAGTCAGTGCCCCGGGCCACGAAGTGATACTCTGGCTGTGTTGCTCAGAATAGCGCGGCCAGAGCAGACAAATTGGAGGGAGGCACCTTGAGTTCCTGCGTAGAAGGGGAGGCCTGGATTGGCAGAGCCAAAACGAGGGGGGGTATGTTTAAAAAGCCCCAAGAGCTGGAGTAGAGCACAGAAGGTGAGGGTGATCAAGTCTCCTTCATGGGTCTCCATCGTGAGTCCAAACCTAAGCATGGGTGAGTCTCAAAGGAGTGGGGGCGATCAGAGGTAAGGGAGGACTGAAATTTGAGGGGCTGAGTGGTAGAAACCGAACACCATCAGCCTGTGGGGACCAAAATGAAGTGTCAAAAGCCCAGAGTCAGGTGGGGGCGTGGTCCTGCTGGTGGGGTGGGCGTGGCCTCGCGCAGCATTGTGCTGATGGGCGTGGCCAGAGCGCTGGAGGCGGAGCCACCTCGGGGTTTAAACTCAGAAGTGGTGGTTTTCCAAATGCCTAGCGGAACGGAGGGCTGCAGATCTGCGTGAGATGGGTTAGGAAGAGGAACAGTCGATAATCGAAAGACTATCACCTGGAGGGCTAGTGGGGTCGGGGTCAAAATCCGCACTATTTAACCCCACCGGAGGAATAGCAAACCCATGGGGGTTGGGGGAGCAAGGCACGACTCCCCGTACTTTACACAAATTAATCCATTCGCTCCTCGCGGCCACCCCGGGGAGGTAGGTATTCATAATATTCCCACTTTTCCTTTTCAAAAACTTTTTGAGCCACACCCGGGGAGTGTGGGTTTGTGGGGGCACACCCAGGGTTTACTCCTGGCTCTGTGCTCAGGGGATCATTCCTGGCGGGACTCGACCCTATTGGGGTGCCGGAGATCGACCCTGGATGCTCCGGGTGCTAGGGCAGCGCCCTCCCCGCTGTGCTACCGCTCCAGCCCCAGTATCCCCATTTTTCCCAAATGAGGAAACCGAGGCCGGAGTTGGGCCATTGGTCCGCTAGAAAGTGGCTGACCTGGGCCTGCACTCAGGCAGACACGCCCCCGAGTGCCCGTGCACGAATCACACTCTCCCCCAGCCCTCCGCCCCTCAAGGGACCCCACAGCCCGGGAGCTGACCGCCCCCCTCTCCCGGGTGACCCGCCTGCACCCGGGGCGGCAGCAGGGCGGGGCGGGGCGGGCGCGGGGCCTCCCGGGGCCGGAAGCGGCGGGGCCGGTCCCGGCTCCACCCCCGGACCCGAAGCTCCACCAGCCGCCGCCATGAGTAGCTTTGGAGCAGGGTGAGACCCTCTGGCAGACCCTCTGGTCCCTGCACCCCCGGGACCCGCTGCCCAGGACCGCCCCCTCCCCCACTCGGCGCCCCGCGAGCATCCCCGCACCCGCCTCCCCGCACCGGCTCCGGGGATGTGGGGACACACCCACCCCGTGCCTTGAAACTGCTCGCCCCCCTTCGCTGCTGCAAATCTGGGGTGCTCTTGGGGTGGGGGTAGGGCGTGGGCAGTCCCGTCGCGCCGAATTCCTAGGAGGGGGTCCTCTTCCAGGATCGCGTCCGTGCCACCTCGTGCTGTGTGTGATCTCTGGCGGTCACTGCCTCTCTGGGCCTGTGTCTTAGGCTCTGCACCGTCAACCGAGCAAAGCACACGGCCTGCAGAGAGGCAGCGCTCCGTCCTCGGCGGCCGCATTTGTCCTCGGAGACCTCCAGGGTGGGGGGCGAGGGGGGAGGTTGGTGGGGCGGCTCCTCCCCCTTTCTGACCTGCCTGCTAATTGGGGCGCCTTTTTTTTTTCTTCTTTCTTTTGGGGGTCTGGGGTCTCTCCTGACAGCAAAACCAAAGAAGTTATCTTCAGTATGGGTAAGTGGGGAGAGGCGTGAGACGGAGGCAGTTGGGGGGTTTGTGAGAGGCCAAAGCTGGAGGTTGGATGTTTATCTCTCTTGGGCCACTCCCCCCCCTTTTTTTTTTGAAAAAGTGAAACCTGGGGATGGGGAGGTGGCTCAGAGGGCGCATGCTCCGGCATGCACAGCCCTGGGTTCAGTCCCCCAGCCCCTAGCACCACCAGCTGGGTGCCGCATAGCCTCTTAGTGGCCCCCAAGCATTGCTGGGAGGTCCCACCCTCCCGCAAAAAAAAAAAAACACAAAAAACCTGAATGGGAGAGGAATGGGGCTGGTGTGGGCGCCTGACCTCTGGGGGTGCCCCTGCAGAGGAGGGCTGTGTTAAGATGTTCCTGAGGGGTCGCCCTGTACCTATGCTAATCCCGGATGAGCTGGCGCCCGCGTACAGCCTGGACACCCGCTCGGAGCTTCCTTCCCGCAAGCTCAAGCTGGACTGGGTGTATCCTTCCGCTTCATCTTCCCCATGCTGGGCCCTGGGTGGGACCCGGGGCCTGCCGTGCCTGCCAGACAGGTGTCTCCCCACCCGCCCTCCCTTCCCCTGAACTCAGAGGGGTCCAAATAAAGCCCTTGAGGTGGGATCTGTAGCTGGAGTCAGGGGCTTTGGGCTTCCCCGGGCAGTCCCCACTGCTGCTGGGGTCATGGGCCCAGGAACGGGGCTTTTCTGAAGGGAGGTTGATGATTAATTGAAGCAGCCCTGCCAGATTACCTCTGCAGGCGGCTCCCTGCTTCATCGACCCTGAAAGGGAGAGGGTGGGGTGGGGAATTAGCTCTGGCGGGCTGAAAAAAGAAAGTGGAGGGCAGGTGAACATTGAGGCAAGTAGGGAGATAAAGTGTGGGCCAGAGTGTAGCAGGGAGAGTTTGCCTTCCAAGTGCTGACCTGGGTTCCATCCCCAGTGCCCCACAGAATCTGAGCACCAACCAGAAGTAGTTCCCCAGTGCAGAGCCAGAAGTGACCCCTGAGTATTGATGGGTGTGACCCAAAAATCATTAAAAGCAAGCAAGCAAGCTCAGAGAAACCCCATTCTTCTCTGAAATAGTAGGAGAATCTGATATGGGGCAGCTTCCAAGAATGTTCCCGAATGAGAATTCTGCTGCTAATAGCAGCCTGTCTACAAGGCTTCTGTGGCCAAAAGGGAAAAAAAATTGTGGGGCGGTATGGTGGGGGAAGTCACATCTGGTGCTGACCAGGCCTTAGCTTCCTTCTGACTCTGCTCAGGGATCAGTCTGACAGACTCTGAGGACCACATGTGGTGCCTGGATGGGTCCTGGATTGCCCTGCCCACTGTACTGTCTTTCTGCCCCTTTGTGGCCAGAGTGAGCTCAGTGGATTTGTGAAACAGAAGCTGTGGTGGTGAAACCCTGACTTCACAGAGTGGCTGCTTCTGGCTGCCTCTGGGACTCTAGGCTGGCCCCTTGTTGCTCTACGCCCCAGTTGGCTCTTCCTGGAACTGGGTTTTGTGATCTCAGGTTCATTGTGTGAAACTGTGTAAAAGGCACAGAACCTGGGGCCTGAGAGATTGGACAGTGGGTCCAGGGCACTTGCCTTGCATGCAGTTGACCTGATTCGATCCCAGGCATCCTATATGATCCCCCGAGTTCTGCTAGACGCGATTCCCTGAGTGCAGAGCCAGGAGTAAGCCCTAAGCATGGCCAGGTGTGCCCCTCCCTCCAAAAAAAAAAAGTAACCAACTCATCATACGCTTCCATACACAGGGCTGAGAAAGTTAACAACTCTAGAGAACCCTTCCTTAGAAGATCCCTTCCACAGTGTGGAGTTTTCCTGCCTTCCTTTAGTAAAGTAAAGTAAAGTAAAGTAAAGCCTTCCTTTATTGTCCCTTAAATAAAGGATTTTCTGATTAAAAAAAAAAATTACAAGGGCTAGAGTGATAACACAGTGGGTAGATCGTTTGCCTTGCATGTGACCAACCTGGGTTGGATTCCCAGCATTCCATTTGATCCCCTAAGCACGCCAGGAGTAGTTTCTGAGTGTAGAGCCAGGAGTAACCCCTGTGCATCGCCAGGTGTGACCCAAAAGCAAAAAAAAAAAAAAAAAGAGAGAGAGAGAGAGAAACACATCCTTATTGAGCTCACCTATATGTGAGACGTGGTTCTGAATTCTTGTGTGTTTGATGCTGGGGATTAAACCCAGATCTCAAGCTCTTAGCCACATCTCTTGTCTATTAATCCTTGCATGTATAAATATGGTAAACACTTTGTCCCTTCTCATAGAATTGAGACGGTATTGGGTGGGTACTCAAGGGCTACTCCTGCTTCTGTGCTCAAGGATCACTCCTGGCAGGGCTCAGAGGACTCTGTGTGATGCTAGAGATTGAAGGGGGGTGAACTGTAAGTGCCTTAACCTCTCAGGCTCTTGAGAAGTGATTTATTTATTTATTTAGTTTGGGAGGGGAATGGGGGGGCAGGGCAGAGGGAACACCTGGTGGAGCTCAGGAATTACTCTTGGCTCTGCACTCAGGAATTACTCCTAGCCATGCTCAGAAGACCATATGGGATGCTGGAGATTGAGCACTGGTTGGCCAGGTGCAAGGCAAGAACCCAAGAACCCTACCCATTGTACTATCTCTCTGGCCCCTTGAGAAGGCATTTTGCCAAGCAGTGGCCTGCCCCTGACTGCTCTGACTCTTCAGGTTGTGAATGAGCAGCTTTACTTCCTGGAGATGAAACTGAGGCCACCAGAGGGGTCGGAGCACTGTTCAAGGGAGTCAGCAGGCTCGAGGTCAGAAACCCTGGGCTCAGGCTTTCTACTCTGTTCTCTGGGGCACATGGTTAGCACAGCACAGGGCTGTTGAAAATGCTGTGACCTTGGAACCTGGAGCCTCCTAGAGGCCACGGGAAAGACTATGGGACAGACCCAGGCATGCTGGCGCCTGTAGCTACAGGCAACCAGGACTCCCCTGTCATATTGTTGTCTCCTAGGTGATGAGGGTGGAGCCGTTCCCATGGGGGCTTTTGTTCAGTTTTTTGTTGTTGCTCTTTTTTGTTTTGTTTTGTTTGGGGGCCACACCCAGTGGTGCTCGAGGCTTACTCCTGGCACTCTGCCCTCAGGAGTCACTTCTTTTTTTTTTTTTAACGTTTTAATTGAATCACTGTGAGATAGACCCTTAACAAAGCTGTTCATGATTGGATTTCAGTCATACAGTGTTCCAACACCCGTCCCTCCACCAGTGTACATTTCCCAGCACCAGTGTCCCCAGGTTCCCTCCCATCACCCCCCACCCCCACCCCTGCCTGCCTCTATGGCAGATGAGTTTCTTCTCTCTCTCTCTCTCTCTCTCTCTCTCTCTCTCTCTCTCTCCTTTTGGGCATTGTGGTTTGCAATATTGATACTGAAAAGTTGAAAGGTTATCAAGAAAATCCCTTTACCTATTTTTTTTTTTTTTTTTTTTTTGCTTTTTGGGTCACACCTGGTGATACACAGGGCTTACTCCTGGCTCTGCACTCAGGAATTACTCCTGGCAGTGCTCAGGGGACCATATGGGATGCTGGGAATCGAACCCGGGTTGGCTGCGTGCAAGGCAAACGCCCTACCTGCTGTACTATCTCTCCAGTCCCGCTTTACCTATTTTTAACCCTTAGCTTTTGTCCAGCATGATTATTCCCAATCATTATTGTCATAGCAATAATGGTTGCTGTGACAATCTTACCTTCTCTTTCTTACCTGTCATCCACACACACTTACCACACACACTTGTGGTTAGTTCCGACCATTGACCAGTCCTCAGGAGTGACTTCTGGTAGGCTCAGGGCACCCTGTGTGGTACCAGGGATTTAACTCTGGCTGACTGTGTGCAAGATAGGAGCCCTCCCCGATGTACTGTCACCCACACCCTGCTGTTCCTGTTGGACCACCCCTGACCCAGCTTTCCTCCCTATCTCTTCTAAGGACATTGGGCTCAGGGCCCATCTGAATAATCTCAGGTGATCTGTTTGCTTTTTTTTTTGGGGGGGGGGTGTCACACCTGGTGATGCTCAGAGGCTACTCTTGTTTCTGTGCGCTCAGGTGTCACTTCTGGAGGTTTTTGGAGACCCATATGTGGTGCTGGGGATTGAATCGTGGTCAGCAAGGCAAGTGCACTAGACTCTCTGGCCCCATGTGCTTCTGGGGTCTCCTCTCAAGCTCCTTTAATTAATCTTAAAAAAGACTTCCCAGGCAGCTGACATTTACAGGTTTTGGGAGTGGGGGCAGGGATTTGCTTTTGACCACCTCTAATGATACCTGTGATACTGGTTCTGTGCTCAGAGATCTCTCCTGGCAGGGCTCAGGGGACTCTATGGGATGCCAAAGATCCAGCCCAGGTCAGCCACATGCAAGCAAGGCAAATACTCTGCCCATTGTGTATAGCTCATTGTGTATAGCTCTGGCCCCAAGAGGTTAATATTTTTGGGGGGGTTGAACATCATTCACCCTAGCATGGAGAAAGACAGCAGAAAAGCCTATTCTGAAGGCCCCTTGAGTCGGGAGTCGGGGCCTGCTCACCAAGCTCCTTAACCAGCCTGGCTGTGCCCAGCTACGGCTACCGAGGCCGTGATTGCCGGGCCAACCTCTACCTGCTACCCACGGGGGAGATTGTGTACTTTGTGGCCTCCGTGGCCGTGCTCTACAGCGTGGAGGAGCAGAGGCAGCGGCACTACCTGGGACACAATGATGACATCAAATGGTAAGTCTTAGGGGGCACTTCTACCCTGGAGTCTTTTTTTTTTTTTGAGGGGGGTACAACCAGGGGTGTGGCCAGATTGTGGGTGGCCTGAATTATGGTTGGGTAAGTGTGTGCGCGTGCGTGCGTGCGTGCGCGCGTGTGTGTGTGTATTTCATCAGATTGCCTGTGAGCTTACTCAGATGCCTGAGTTTGAAAATCTGAGCCGACATCCCATATCTGGGGCGCAAGCAGGTGGGGGGCAGGCCCCCACAAACCTCTAGTGTTCCTGAGCTCCTGTGGGAGGTCCAGGTCTGACCCCTCCACCCCCCACCACCACCAGGTGTGAGTCAGAGGCTCTGAGCATGAATCTTTTTGTTTGTTGACTGCACCTGGCAGTGCTCCCTGCTGTGTTGTGAAGTGGAGTGGGGTGGTACTCCCAGTGGTATTCAGAGGATCATTTGCAGGGGATTGAACCGGACCCCATGAGTGTAAAGTTTGTGCTCAATTCACTGGACTGTCTCTCTGGCCATTGGGCCTGAGTTTTGTTTCCCACTGGGGAACCACACAACGGAAGCGTTAAATAAATGCTTCTTGAGTAACTCAGACAACTCAGCGACCCAGTGACCCCACCCTGGGACTGCTGCCTGCTGTGTGAGGGGCTCCGGGCCCCCTCCTACTGACATCTGCCTATCTGTCCTTCTTAGCCTGGCTGTCCACCCAGACATGGTCACCATCGCTACTGGTCAGGTGGCAGGCACCACAAAGGAGGGGAAGGTAAGAGCGGGGCACCCCGGGGATGGAACAGTGGGGCACGGGATGGGGGGTGGTCCAGTAACAGGTCTTCCCTTTCCCCATAGCCGCTGCCACCCCACGTGCGCATCTGGGACTCAGTTTCCCTCTCAACCTTACACGTGCTGGGCCTGGGGGTGTTTGACCGAGCCGTGTGCTGTGTGGGTTTTTCCAAATCGGTAAGTCCGGAAGGGCCCCCTCTCCCCCCCACTACTGCTACTCAATCAGGAGCAAGCAGCTAACCTTCCCACCCGCCTCTTAGGCCAAAGGCCCCGCCTTCACGGTGACGTCACCGGTGGGCGGTCCCGCCGCCAATCAGGTGCAGGCAGTGCTTCTCGCCCGCCCCTAAGGCAAGAGGCCCCGCCCTCACAATGACGTCACCGGCGAAGGCACCGCCCCTGGGACCAGATCCCACTGTCGGTGGCCACACAGACCCGCTTTGTTTGCCCTTGTAAGTGGGAGCCTGGTCCTGACTTGCAGACAGACCGCTCTGTGTTCTCCCGTCCTAGGCCTGTTGACACTTGTCGACACTTGTTACTCTCCGTGGGCCTGTGTCTCCCGCTCGGGGTGCCCCGTTAGGCGCTCAGGGTCTGGTGCCCCCGCTTTGTGCCATCCCTGTAGCCGGGTACTGGGCGCCTCCGTGGTTGGCAGGTCCCGGTGAGATAAGTATAGCAAGGGAGAGTAAGCCTTGAGGAATTTGTAGGGCAATTTGACATTCCGCAACAGCCGGCCATGTGATTGGTGGATCTGCTGTTTTTCTAATCCTAGTTTACATTTTTATCGTAGTTTACCCAAGTATTGGTCTGCAAAAGATTAAGAAAGAGAAAACAACTAGTCCACCCACAGCGATTTTCAAAAGCGCCTCCTGAGTTCCCTGAAGTCTCAGGAGACGTTTGAGAGCTTTGTGGGGAAGAGGTGATTTTACTGGCAATGTGTGTGGGTGCAGGAAGCCTTATTGAACTCAGAATTATTAGCCGGTATTTCACAGAGGGTAACAAATTCACATTGCTCATGTGGATATAACAAATCCAACTTTAGTCATTAATTTTTTGGGGGGAACAGGTTGGGTCACACCCAGCAGTGCTCAGGGCTTACTCTTGGCTGTGCATTCAGGGATCATTCCTGGCAGGGAGGGACCAAAAGAGGCACATCAGGACTTGGTCCCAGATCATCTGTGCACTAGGCAAGCACCCTCCCTCCTGTCCTACTGCTCTGGCTCGGCCCCCATGAGTTTATTTTAGTGTATTTCCTATGATCTGAACCAAAGCCTTTGAAAGTCTCAAAGTAGACCTGAGTGGTGAGGTGGCAGGCTTGAGTTCCCAGATTGTCACCTGCTTTGTTCCTTTCTCTCCGTCTCTCTTTCTAGAACGGTGGCAGCCTGCTCTGTGCTGTGGATGAATCCAATGATCATATGCTGTCCGTGTGGGACTGGGCCAAGGAGACCAAAGTGGTGGATGCCAAGGTGGGGTGACTGTTCTCATCGCTTGTCCTTGAGGTGCCCTTGAGGGAACTGGCAGGATTGCAGGGGTCAGTCGGGAATCAGATCAACACACGTTTAAGTCCTGATTTTGCTTTTTGGAAGCTGTGTAATTTTGGGCCAGTGACTTGCCCTCTCTGAACCTCAGATGGGTCATCTGTAATATGCAGCTAATGATAGTGTCTTTCTTATAGATCTGAACTCCAGTGTGGGAGTATAGAGTGGGGTAGATCCCAGGGAAGGGCCAGTTGGAGGGCAGCTGATTCCAGTCCTGTGATGTCTGTGAGTCCTGTGATGTCCACGAGGGCCTTAACTCCTGTATCTGGGCCGTGCCCTCTTTTATAGACTGGGAATCTGAACTCTGGGAGAGGGGACTTGGCCTCAATCAGACAATTGTTCTGTTTTTTTTTTTTTTTAATTTTGTTTTGGGGCCACACCTGGCAGAGCTCAGGGCTGACTCCTGGCTCTGCACTCAGAGATTACTCCTGATGGGCTCAGGGGACCATGTGGGGTGCTAGTGATGGCCGTGTGCAAGGTAAATGCCTTCCCTGCTCTGCTGTTGCTTCGACCCCAGACTCCCTGGGCCTAGAGATATGTTTTCCATCCCCAGGATCTGAGCCTGGGGATGGGAGGCAGAAGATAAGGAGTTGACTCTGGATTCCTCCCTGGATATGGTCAGATGCAGATCACTTGCCCTCTCTGAGCCTCATTCTTTTTTTTTTTTCTTTGGGTCACACCTGGCGATGCACAGGGGTTATTCCTGGCTCATGCACTCAGGAATTACTCCTGGCGGTGCTCGGGGGACCATATGGGATGCTGGGAATCGAACCCGGGTCGGCTGCGTGCAAGGCAAACACCCTACCTGCTGTGCTATTGCTCCAGCCCCCTGAGCCTCATGCTTTTTTTTTTTTTTTTGGCTTTTTGAGTCACACTGGTGATGCTCAGGGGTTACTCCTGGCTCTCTACTCAGGAATCACTCCTGGCGATGCTTGAGGGCCCATATGGGATGCCAGGATTGAACCTGGGTCAGCTGTGTGCAAGACAAGCACCTTCCCTACTGTACTGTCACTCCTGCCCTCCGAGTCTCATTCTATATCTGTCTTGGGAGGCATGAATGAGCCTCACCTCCCCGGCATTCAGAGGGTCCAATAATGGGCTCGTGGTGTCAAGTGCCAAGCATGGTGCGTGGTACAGAATTGGACCTCCCCCAGTCCGTAGGCGCCTGCCACTGTGTTCCTGAAGAAGGCGGTACGGCTGCATGTTCTTCTTGCTCTAGTGGTACCAAAGTTGGCCCCCGGAGGAAAGATACAGGGCAGATAGTTGTGCAGTGTGCCACCCAACCAACCGTGCACAGACATTCTGAGTGGAGATGGGGGTGCAGGGTGACTCCGAGCCCTTTAGTCCGAATCACCTCTCCTCTTTCTTAGTGTTCCAATGAGGCGGTGCTGGTGGCTACCTTCCACCCCACGGACCCTACCATGATCATCACCTGCGGGAAATCCCACATCCACTTCTGGAACCTGGAGGGTGGCAGTTTGAGCAAGAGGCAGGGCCTCTTTGAGGTGAGTGTCCTGAAGGCAGGGACAGGCTGGTCCCAGGAGACCAGGCAGAGGCGTCCAGCTAGACAAGTTGCCGCAGAGGGACCCAGATACTGGAGACCTTTTATTTATTCTTTTTTTTTGGGGGGGGGTCACACCTGGCAATGCACAGGTGTTACTCCTGGCTCTGTAGTGAGGAATTACTCCTGACGGTGCTCAGGGGACCATAAGGGATGCTGGGAATCGAACCCTAGTTGGCTGCGTGCAAGGCAAACGCCCTACCCACTGTGCTATCACTCCAGTTCCTGGAGACCATTTTTTGAGGGAAGGCCATACCCAGTGATGCTCAGGGGTTACTCCTGACTCTTCACTCAGGGATCACTTCTGGTAGTGCTCAGGGAGAGTCTGTGGGATGCTGGGGATCAAACCTGGGTTGGCTGTGTGTAAGGCAAGCACTCACCCTGCTGTTCTATTGCTCCAGTCCCAGAGGCTGGAGACGTTGAGGTGAGTTGCCTCCCTTGTCATGGGGAGATCAGTCCTATCCAAGGTGGATGAAGCTCGTTCATATATGGAACTTGGAGTAGTTTGAGGGTTACAGTGCCAGGTAGCTCATGTGCGGTAAATGGATGGTCCTCAGGAGTCTGGGTCGACAGTGAACTCAGGGGCAGAAGAGCTAGAAGTCGGGTGTCTGGAGGAAATATGAGGACCCTGCTGACACAGCTCCCCTGACTGTGCCATTTGGGGATTCCACCCCCAGCAGGAAAGCCCAGAGAATCCCAGAATAACAGATGGAAATGAGTCAGAGATGATGGGGAACGGGGGGGAGGGGGGCGGCAGCATACAGGGTGCTGGGGACAGGGCCAAAAACGAGAAAAGCAAAGGACAGAGACAGAGATGGGGGAGACTTGGAGATGGAGCATGGAGAATACAAGGGGAAGACCGTGGTGACCCCAAGGCCAGGGAGGGGAAGGAAGTTAGAGAGGAGGGACAGGAAGAGGAAGCAGGAGTGGCCTGAGATATTGTGTGGTCACCAGCTAGACACCAGAACACTCCAGGGAGGTGACTGGAGATGGAGGCACTCCTCATAGGACTCACCTAAGCATGTGGAGGGGCCCCTCTGACCCAGTTCCAGTTGATGGATAAACTCTGGGATGGGGGTCACCCTGTTGCACTGACCCCCTAACAGTTCCTCTCTCTGCCTTCCCCTCAGAAACATGAGAAGCCGAAGTACGTGCTGTGTGTGACCTTTCTAGAGGCTGGCGATGTGGTCACTGGAGACTCAGGAGGGAACCTCTATGTCTGGGGTAAAGGTCAGTGACACCCCACTTGTTTGGTACCCACTCCTGTGCGCCCTAACCGCCCTTGTCTGACTGAGCCTGCCTTCTTCCGGCGTGGTACATGTGGAATGTCTGCGAACACAGGCTCATTCCAGGTGGGTGGTGGGTGGATGGTGGACAGACGGATGGACAGATGGGTAGATCTGTGTATGTATGTAGAGACGATGGCTCGATGGACAGATGGACATTCAGGTCAATGGATGGACTGTTGGGTGGATAGACAGACAGATGGGTAGCTGGACGTAGGTATGAATAGATGGCGGGCAGATGGGCGAACAGCCAGATGTGCGGAGGGCAGATGAGTTGCTGGTGCACAGATGGATGAATGGAGAGATGGATGGATGGATGGATGGATGGATGGATGGATGGATGGATGGAGAGATGGATGGATGGATGGATGGATGGATGGATGGATGGATGGGTGGGTGGTATGATGTTAGGTGGTTTAATGAGTGGATAATTGGGTATTTGAGTAGATGATGGGGGTCAATGGAGCACAGGCTTAGGGGTTCCAGATACTTTCAGGGGTCAGTCCAGGGACTGTGTCTCCCTGCCAGCCCCTGCCTCTGGCTCCCCGCAGGTGGGAACCGCATCACACAGGCCGTGGTGGGCGCCCACGATGGTGGTGTGTTTGCGCTCTGCGCCCTGCGGGACGGGACGCTGGTGTCTGGAGGTGGCCGTGATCGGCGGGTGGTCGTCTGGGGTTCAGACTACAGCAAGCTGCAGGAGGTGGAGGTGAGAATGGGGAGTACCTCGGAAGGAGGGGGAGAATCCCGCTCCCCACGAGGGCTCCTGGTGGCCAGTCCACCTCTCCCCTGCACCCCCACCCCGGTGTCCTGCACCCAACTGCCCACCCTCTTCCATCTGGCCCACCCAGGTCCCTGAGGACTTTGGCCCCGTGCGTACTGTGGCAGAAGGCCGGGGAGACACGCTGTATGTGGGGACCACCCGCAACTCCATCCTGCAGGGCTCTATTCACCTGGGCTTCTCTCTGCTGGTCCAGGTGAGCATCTTCCTGGCACCTGCCCTCCTCATCCTGAGCCTGCGCTCTCCTCCATGGCCCACCCCTCAAATGCACCCGCTCCCCCCCCCCCAACTCCCACTGGGTCTCGCTACTATCCTGGTCTGCAGATGCTGCTCCTGCCTGGGGAGTACCCTGTCTGGGGACAAGCCCAGGCAGGTGTCACTGGGCTAATGCCCCGACCATGCCCACCAGTGATCATGCCCCTTAAGCGACCACACCCCATCATGTGGTCACGCCCTTCAACCAAGGCTCACTAGCCACGGAAGTTGCTCTGGGCTCCGCCTCCTATCAGCCTTCAGAACTCCTTACCTTGCCTTTCTTGGGTCAAAGTCCCACTACCCCACCTGGGGACCCAGAGGTGTCGCGGTGGCTGCAAGGATCTGCCGAGGGATGAAAGCCCAGGATCTGACCCTGTGGTTCAGGATTCACCCAGGACCAGTGCATGAGGTTCTGTGCCCCGCCCTGGGGCTGTCCACTTGCCCAGGCCATCCTGGAACTCCCCCTGCTTTGCGCTTCCTGGGAAAGGGGGAGAAAAACCCCAGAGCACACCTGACCAGGAATGTGACCGCCTGGGGCACCTCAGGGTCGGCTCTCCTGCTACATGAATGGGGTGGTGAGTGTATCCCAGCTCAGTGGAGTGAGGCGCTCAGACTTGGTGAGGTTCTGCACATGGCGTGGAGGAGGGGTTCCGGAGCAGTCTACAGCCCATGCCCTCCTGGTTTCCTGCCCCCTTTCCACTGTGCTTGCACACCCACCGTTTCCCTTCCACAGGCTCCCTGCTGGGCTCTCCAGTGAGAGTGCACACAGGGCATGACCCATGCCCCGGGCACCATCCATTACTGCAGAAGCTTATGGAGTCCGTCTCTACTTCCTGTTTCCATAGAAAAAAGACAAGGGGCTGGAGCAATTCCCAGCATCCCATATGGTCCCCTGAGCACCACCAGGAGTAATTCCTGAGTGCAGAGCCAGGAGTAACCCCTGTGCATTGCCGGGTTTGACCCAAAAAGCCAAAAAAAGAAAGAAAACAAGACGAGTAGGGGCTTTGCTGGGTTTCAGGAAAAGATCTTAGAGGGGGGCCAGAGAGAGAGAACAGCGGGTTTGCGGGTTTTGGAACCACAGCCTGTGATGCTCAGGGTTTACTCCTGGCTCTGCACTCAGGAATCACTCCTGGCCATGCTGAAGAAACCATATGGGATGCTGGGGATCCAACCTGGGTTGGCCACATGCAAGGCAAACACCCTCCCCCCTCATCTATTGCTCTAGCCCAGGATCTTTGTTTTGTTTTGGAACTATAGCTGGCAGTGCTTGGGGCTTACTCCTGGCTCTGCGTTCAGGGATCACTCCTGGCAGGGCTTGGGGGAGGTGCCAGGGATCAAACCTGCAAAGGCCACATGCAAGGCAAGTTCTCTCCCCGCTGTGCTGTGGCTCTGTGGTCTAGGATCTGAGTGAGCATGACAGAATCATGAGACGCAGACAGCAATCATCCCCATTTAGGGAAGTCAAGCCTCTGTGCTGAGTGCCCACATTTTTTTTTTTTTTGGCTTTTTGAGTCACACCAGTCAATTCACAGGGGTTACTTCTGGCTGTGCACTCAGGAATTACTCCTGGTGGTGCCTCGGGGAGCCTACAGGATGCTGGGAATCGAATCCGGGTCAGCTGCATGCAAGGCAAACTCCCTACCCACTGTGCTATCGCTCTAGCCCCAGTGCCTGCATTCTTCGGGGTACCTCTGGCTCCTCAGGTCAAAGTGAGACCCCCATTGCTTCCCACCGTGGCAGTGTTTGCCCAGAGTTCCCTTCTAGGTGCCGGGGTCTCCTGGACCCCCGCTGTAGGAGGGGCCTGGGTCCTCCAGGGCGAGTTCACCTTGGTTCTCTGGCCTTGGAGGCCAGACGCAAAGGACAGGCAGGGCACCTGCATGCTGTTCTGTCCTTCCCACAGGGCCATGTGGAGGAGCTGTGGGGCCTGGCTGCCCACCCCAGTCAGCCGCAGTTTGTGACGTGCGGGCAGGATAAGCTGGTGCACCTGTGGAGCGCGGAGACCCACCAGCCCCTCTGGAGTCGGAGCATCGAGGTAGGGGCCTCGGGGACCACACCCACCTTGCTGACACTCCCTGTCCCATGCCGGAGGATGTCACAGCCTGGCTCTCTTTTTGGTATTTGTTTTGGTATTTGGGTTGGTGATGGAGACACAATGCCAAGGTTCGACACACAGGCCAAACATTTGCTCTGCCTTCAGGACTCTATCTCCAGACAGTTCCCAATATATTTGGGGGCAGGTTGTTTTCTGGGCCATGCCTGAGCAGTGGTCAGGGGCTACTCCTGTCTCAGTGCTCAGGAATTGCTTCCAGTAGTGCTTGGGAGACTATGGGGTACTAAGGATGGAACCCAGGATTCTTTTTTTTTTTTTTAATTTTTTGGTGGGACCAGAGCAAAAATTTTGGAAGGGCCACATCCAACAGTGCTCAGGGGTCACTCCTGCCTCTACAGTCAGGAAAGTCAGGAATACTCTTGCAGTGCATTGGGGATCATATGGGATGGGAGGGATTGAACCTGGGTCAGTTACGTGCAAGTGTGAGCCCTCCCCACTGTACTGTTCTCTCTAGCCTTTGAACCCAGAACTCTGGTATTCAAAGCCTGTACTCTGAACTATCTGGCCTGCTGAACTATCAGGCCTTCTAGCTACCGTTTTCTTGGGGGGGAAGATTGGAATCATACCTAGTTGTGTTCAGGAACCACTCTTGGTGGTGCTCAGGGGACCATAGAGGGTGCTACAGATTGAACTCACGTCGGCCATGAGCAAGGCATGCGCCCTCTCAGCCGACCTTTCACCCTGGCACTCTATTACTCTTACTCTCAGAACACAACTTAGAGAAATCTTCTTGGATTAAAGCCATAGGAGGGGCCAGAGCTATAATACAGTGGGTAGGGCATTTGCTTGGCACGCAGCCAACCCGAGTTCAATCCCTGGCATCCCATATGGTCCCCCAAGCACTTCCAGGAGTAATTCCTGAGTGCATGAGCCAGGAGTAACCCCTGAGCATCTCCGGGTGTGACCCAAAAAGCAAAAAAGAAAAAAAAAGCCATAGGAATATCATACAGGATAAAAAGAAGTCCCAGGGACCAGACTGATGGTGCAGAGGTTAAGGTATTTGCCTTGCGTCCCCTGGCACTGCTTATGGTCCCCAGAGCACCGGCAGGAGTGACCCTGAGTCCCTGAGCACCGCTAGGTATGATTATTCCCCCATCCCCAAGGAAAGAAAGAAAAATAGGGCCCAGGGGCTAGAGAGATAGCACAGCGGGTAGGGCATTTGCCTTGCACACGGTCAACCCGGGTTCAATTCCCAGAATCAGGCGTAATTCCTGAGTGCAGAGCCAGGAGTAACTCTTGTGTGTTGCTGGGTGTGACCAAAAAGAAAAAAAAAATAGGGCCCAGACTGAAGGAAGGAAAGTTATGCCTTGGGCTAGTCGCACCCTTTGATGGGGGTTGATGCCTGATGGAACTCAGAGCTTCAAACATGCAAAGCCCACCGAGAGCACTTCGGAGGCACTGCCCTGATGAGTGCCAGGAAAGGGGCAGGGCTGGGTGTTGGCTCTGAGGCACCCTGGCTCTTAGCTCCCCTCTCCTTTCCCTCCCTCAGGACCCCGCCTGCTCTGCTGGCTTCCACCCCAGTGGTGCGGTCCTGGCTGTAGGCACGGTGACTGGCAGGTAAAGTGGGGGACACTTTTGGAGTGGGGGAGGTTATTGTCCGCTTAGGAGCTGCCCCCGCCATGGCCCCCTCCCGCAGCCCTGAGCCTGTGGTTAGGCACAGCAGTTCCCAGGCCGGGCCCTGGGAGTCAGTCTCTCCTCTTGCTCCGGGGTCCCCTCCCTCAGATAGACCCTTCTAACCCCCCACACCCCCGTTCCCCCACCCTGCCTTCTTAAAGGTGGCTGCTACTGGACACGGAGAAGCACGACCTGGTGGCTATCCACACTGATGGCAACGAGCAGATCTCAGTGGTCAGTTTCTCCCCAGGTAAGAGGTGGACTCGGGTCCCCCCATCCCCTGAGGGCCCAGACCTAGGAAGGCGAGGACTAGCTGCTGGTCAGGGGGGACGGGCGACAGCCGCAGGGTCTGGGGTGGGGTTATGGGGGCGGGAGCGGGGTCGGCCGCTCAGGGCTGGACTCTTGTGGAGGGTGGGGATGAAATCTCGGTGGAGGGGGCGGAGCCAGGGTGCCTCCTCATGCCCCTCCCCCTCCCCCAGACGGGGCGTACCTGGCCGTGGGCTCCCACGACAACTTGGTGTACGTGTACACGGTGGACCAGGGTGGCCGCAAGGTCAGCCGCCTGGGCAAGTGCTCGGTGAGTGGGCCGTGGCCCTCAGCCCGCGCCGCTGCCCTGTCCAGGCGGTGCAGAATTAACTGCTTTTCTACTTCAAGGGAAGCTCAGCTTCAGCGCGCAACTGATGATGCCCTGAGTACCTCCGGGACTGTCCACCCCACCCTCGGCCCACCCCTGTCCCCAGCCCCTGTCTTCCAGCCTGCCCCCTCGTGTGGCCCTGCCGGTGCACTCGGAGCCCTGCCCCTTGTGTGGCCCTGTCCCCACGTTGGACACGCCCCTTGTGTGGCCCCGCCCCTCACGTCCGAAGCCCGCCCCCTGTGCAGCTCCGCCCACCTGTTCCCTTTGGTCTGAGCCCTCCGTTTGGCCCTGCCCATCACCATGTGGCCCCGCCCCGGTAGCCGGCCCCGCCCCCACGCTTCCCAGGCCTGTCCGCCTTCTCCCGTTAGCCCCTCTGTTTGTCCCCACCTCTGTATTTGGCCGCCAGCCCGACCTGGTCTGATTGTGCCCCATGCCTCCAGCACTAACCTCACCTGCCGTCCTCGCAGGGTCATTCCAGTTTCATCACGCACCTGGACTGGGCTCGGGACAGCAGCTGCTTTGTCACCAACTCCGGGGACTATGAGATTCTGTACTGTGAGTTCTACCCCAGGGGAATGTCATTTGGGGGTTCCCTCTCTCACCGAATTGGCGTGTGTGTTTTACTTAGATTGAATTCTGGGAGTGGGGGTTGCCTTCAAGTTCAATTTCTGGATCTCAGATTTTGTTGGCACTGTTCTATCTTTTTTTTTTCTTCATTTTGGGGCCATCCCCAGAAATGTTCAGGAATCACTCCTGGTGGTGCCTGGGGGACCCTATGGGATGCCGGAGATTGAATCCCGGTCGGCTGCATATAAGCCCTCCTGGCTGTACTATTACCCAGACCTTGTTGGTTTTGGCCACTCCTGCGTACTTGGGTTGGCTCTGTGCTAGGGCCACTCCCTGTGCTCTGGGCACCATGTGACACAGGGGGTCGAACCTCCAGCTCCCTCATGTCGGCTCCAGCCTTTTGAACCATCTCCCTGCCTCTTAGGGGTTTTTCTGACTCATCTGGATTCAGATTTTTCTCTCTGGGATACCCTGCTTTGGCCACTCTTCCCCTCCTGGTGTCTTTGTGGGCATCCTCCGGTGTTAAGGAGGTGAACTGAGGCCCAGCCCTTGGCCTCCTGCCTCAGCCCACAGCAGTGCCCCTTGTCTGAGGCGTGGCTCGTTCTTCCTACCCTGACCCCTTCCCCCATGCTCCACCCAGGGAAACCGGCCACATGTAAGCAGATAACCAGCGCAGACTCTGTGAGGAACGTGGAATGGGCCACGGCAACGTGTGTCCTGGGGTTTGGAGTGTTTGGTAAGTGCTGGGGATGGGAAGGTCGAGAAGTTGCTGAGTTTTGGTCTCTCGTGGGCTCCTGCTGGGCCTGTGAGAGGGTTTTGCTGATGAGTGTACAGTGCTTGTGTGAGAGGAAAGGGGACCAGGTAAGGGTGCTGAGATGAAGTGACACCTGATAGGTCATGACACCTGACCTGGCAGGAGCCACCCTTGCCCACCCTCCACTCTTGCCTCATTGACTGCAGTCTTCTATCCATGCTATCCTGGTATACAGTGATGGCCACAGTAACCCCCTTCTTGCTAGTGTGGGGCTCACAGTCCAGTGAGAGACAGACCTGTCCCCAGAGTACCCAGAAGAGAACAATCTGGGACAAGGATGCCTATAGGAGATTTCTGGTTCCCCAACCTCAAGGAAATCAAGGAGGGCTTCCTGAAGGAAGAGGCATTATAGGGCAGTGGATAAGAAAAACAGGAAAAGGGAAGTGTTCAAGAGCCCAGGGGTGACATTTGGAGAAATCAGGATGACAGGTGGCTAAGCCATCGTAGAGTCTGTTAGTATCCCTGGCTGATAAAGCCAGCTCTGTGGGCAGGCAAAGCCAGACCAGGACAAATAGGAAGTCATGGTGCTGGGCTTTCTCCTGAGGCCACTGTGCAGTGGGTCAGAGACACGCACGGTTCTCCTTTTTTCTTTTTTTTTTTTTTTTGTCTTTTGGGGTCCTGCCATGAGATGCTCGAAGGTTACTCCTGGCTCTGCATTTAGGAATTGCTCCTAATGGTGCTCAGGGGACCATATGGGATGCCGGGGATTGAACTAGGGTTGGCCACATGCAAGGCAAATGCCCTCCCCACTGGACTTTCACTCCAGCCCCAGGAGACACATTTCTGACATCTTTCCCACTCCTGTCCTGGGCTGGGTACAGGCTGGACAAGAGAAAACCAGGGGCTGGGACCTGATCCTTTGGGGTTTCCCTCGTCCTTGCTGACTTTAAAACTTTAGCTTGCTTGGGGGGGCCACACCCGGTGGTACTCAGGACTTATTCCTGGCTCTGTGCTCATGGGTCCCTTCTGACGGGCGCAGGGGACCCTGTAAGATGCCAGGGATCAAACCTCGGTCTGCTGTGTGCAAGACGAGTTCCACCCCACTATACTACGGCTCTGCCTCATGACTTTTAAAATTTTTTTCTTGTGTTGTTGGGGAAGGACCCCAGGGCCTTCCGTGCAAGGCCTGCACCCTGCTTCTGAGCCCCACCCCGTCCTGTCTCATCACCCCCATCTTTCCCACAGGGATCTGGTCTGAGGGCGCGGATGGCACAGATATCAACGCCGTGGCCCGCTCCCATGACAGCACGTTGCTGGCTTCGGCTGATGACTTTGGCAAAGTTCACCTGTTTAGCTACCCCTGCTGTCAGCCGCGGGTGAGCCTTTCTGGGGGGCCTGGCAGGGTGGGGATAATTAGCCACACTGGGGCTGGGGACAGGTGGGGGGTTACTGTCTGTACAAGGTGGGCCTGACCCCAGGGGTCTTTCTTAACCTGGAAGTTGTTATGTTTCAGCGCTAAATCTAGGCAGAGCTGAAGTTCTGGATGCCTGTAAGATCTTGGTTTTCTTTATTAATTTTTTTTGGGGGGTCATACCTGGCAATGCACAGGGGTTACTCCTGGCTCTGCACTCGGGAATTACTCCTGGTGGTGCTCAGGGGACCATATGGGATGCTGGGAATTGAACCCTAGTTGGCCGCATGCAAGACAAACTGCCCTATTCACTGTGCTATTGCTCCTGCCCCATTCTTTCTCCCATTTTTTGGGGTTCCTGTTGCACTCTGTGGTGCTCAGGTATGAGTTCAAAGTGTAGGGGCATGACCTGTTTGGTGGCTGAGAACAGCCTCCCCAGCAGAGGAACAAAGAGACAAGGGGACCATGGCCCGTTTAATGCAGAGCTATTAGCACACTTATAGCACATCTGGGGATTTGAGGGATAGGACTGCATGTAGGCGTGATTGATCATTCACAGAGTAAAGTGCTTTGGCAGAGGCAATTCTCTTGGGGGACTTCACTCAAGGAGACACTCTTGTCTCCCAGGGACATCTATATTGCTTTTCTCTTTCCCTTCAGGTGTACATATTAAAAAGTTAATTTTACTTCTTTTTTTTTATTTTTTTATTTTTTGGCCTTTTGGGTCACACCTGGCGATGCACAGGGGTTACTCCTGGCTTTGCACTCAGGAATTACTCCTGGTGGTGCTCAGGGAACCATATGGGATGCTGGTAATCAAACCCAGGTCAGCCACATGCAAGGCAAACACCCTACCCACTGTGCTATCGCTCCAGCCCCTAATTTTACTTCTTATTAATACTTGCAGTTATTTGGATAAACACAGAGATATAGATTCCAAAATTTAGTTCTCTGAGCTCTGAAGTCAAGCCCACTGGGCTTTACTATAAATCCCAGACTGGGTCCTTAGGCCAGTTTAGCTCTTCTTTCCCCATGAGGGTCCTGTCTCTTAAGTCATAACGGCTGGCATCAAGACCTTCTAGACTATCCCATTTGGATGCCATTATAGCTTCGTTTCTCCCCCCAGGCCCATCCCAGTTCCCTGCGGGACCTTCCTTTAGAGGTTAGGAACTATGGTAACCAAAGCCTGAGTCAACTATATCTACTCTTGACAGATGCCCAAGAGTAGATATAGTTCAGAGTCAATCAACTCCCAGATATTAGGAACATTGCATTAACATGTTCTACGTTGATCTTTCTGTGTTTAAGCAAAGTACATTGCTCTGTAGCAAAATATGAAAAGTTATAGGGGAAATAGAAAAGCACGTAATTCACTCCAAATACAAAGAAAATCCAGAGTTACCAGAAAGTTTGACTTATAAGTAACAAACTCTGACTTGGGGAATTTTGACAATGAGAGGTAGGTAAAGCTCAAAGGAGAGGTTAAAGATAAACTCCGGGGATTGGGGTACTCATTTGTCTTTTGGGGTCCTGCCATGAGATGCTCAAAGGTTACTCCAAGCTCTTCATTCAAGAATTGCTCCTAATGGTGTTCAGGGGACCATATGGGATGCCGGGGCTCGAACCAGGGTCAGCCACATGCAAGGCAGTTGCTCTTGCATTGTAAACTTCTCTGTGGGGAGGAAAAGGGACAATTCACTGATGAAGCCTAAAACACTTACAGTTAGTATCCAACACTCAGGGACTATACCCAGCTCTTGGTGGTGTTTGAAGGACCCTGCGGTGCCAAGGATCAAACCCAGGCCTTCCACTTGCAGAGCACGTGTTGAATTACCCTCCAGCCCCTATTGATTTTTCACTTATATATCTTTTGACGACCAGATTGCTAATACAGCAGGTAAGGCACTTGCCTTGCACGTAGCTGCCCCAGGTTCAATCCCTGGCATCCCATGTGGCCCCCTGAGCATCCCCAGGAATGGTTCTTGAGTGCAGAATCAGGAGTAACCCCTGAACATTGTCAGATGTGGCCCCAAGATGAAAACAAAACATTCATTGAGGTGTCCAGAGAGATGTAGCCAAAAATGTGACAGGTGATTTGTCTTTCTTCTTCTTTCCCTATCCCAGGCCCTCAGCCACAAGTATGGCGGACACAGCAGTCACGTGACAAATGTGGCCTTCCTGTGGGATGACAGCATGGCCCTCACCACAGGGGGCAAGGATACCAGCGTGCTGCAGTGGCGGGTGGTCTGAGGCGCAGGGGTCCCCACGTCACGGGAAGTGACGGGGCCGGAGTTCTATTTTCGGGAGATGTCTATTGCCGAGTAGAGTAATATATACCCAGAGTATGTCTATAGCAGAGAAGGTTATGGGGTGGGAGGGTGGAAGGACAGACAGAAGTCTCTCTTTATTGGGTGGGAAGAAGTGAGGGGCACAGTGCTTTAGGAGAAATCATCCGGGCATTTGTTTTGGGGGTGTTTTTTAAGTTTCATCTTTTGTATCATCCAGAAATAAAGACCACATGCACTGAGATGGTGTCAGGGCCTGAGTGTGTGACCATGCAGTGGGGGTGTTTGGGAGGCCAGGTAGCGATGCACAGGGGTTACTCCTGGCTTTGCATCAGAAATTACTCCTGGCAGTGCTCAGGGGACCATATGGGATGCTGGGAATCGAACCCGGGTTAGCTGCGTGCAAGGCACCCTACCCGCTGTGCTATTGCTCCAGCCCCTTGTTTTCTTTTTCCAATCGAAAGGTTTGGTGCTACTGCCAGTGGGTGCCTATGGACCGTGGAGGTACCAGGGATCAAACCTGAGCCCCCTGCATACAAAGCATGCCCTTAGCCCTCTGAGCTGTGTCTTTGGCCCCTTACAAGGCTTTTACTGAATACAAGTCACAGACTCGAGTTTGCCTCCAGATTACTGAGGAAGAGCAGGCGTGCTGCTGATGTCAGGGGCCATGGATGCTTAGGGCATCCTTCCAAATCTTCCACTGACCTCCCACAACTCACAACTCATTTTCCCAAGATGAGCATCCTCTGTACCAGAGAAACAGGGCATCCACCAGCCTCAAAAATTCACATCAATTTGAAAACCCTGTGCCCCGCTAAGTAAAAAATCCCAGGGAAGGGCAGCGATTGGCTCACCTACATATCAGTCAGCTGATATGGCCAGTTGGTTTACTGTGATTGACTCCACTGAGTGAAAGCTACCGAGAGTATCTTGCCCGCACGGCAGAGCCTGGCAAGCTACCCGTGACGTACTCGATATGCCAAACACAGTAACAACAAGTCTCATGATGGAGACGTTACTGGGCCCGCTCAAGCAAATCGATGAACAACGGGAGGACCGTGACCGTGACCGTGAACCCATGATGATGGTAAGCAGGGAGTAGAACTGTGGTAAAGAATCAAGGCAATCTCCACCTGACCTGCGAGGTTGATGTCGATAGGGGATGTTTTCAGAGAAGCTGCCTTGTGTCACAACACACGACTAGTGCAGGTCCAGGAAATTAGTTCAGGGCACAGAGCCACCTCCTTGCAAGCTTGTGGTCACAAGTTCAAATCCTCAGTTTTCCACATGCTTTTTTTTTTGAGGGGGGGTCATACCCAGTGATGCACAGCGGTTACTCCTGGGCTCTGCGCTCAGGTATTACTCCTGGTGGTACTTGGGGACCATATGAGATGCTGGGAATCGAACCCAGGTCAGCCGCGTGCAAGGCAAACGCCCTATTTGCTGTGCTATTATTTCAGCCCCTTTCCACATGCTTTTGAAAAGCCCTTAAATTATTTTGCGGGGAGGGGAAGGAAGGCGCGTTTGTGGGTGTTTTTGGCCACACCCAGCATGCTTGCATGCTTGGAGGTTGCTCCAGACTTAGTGTTCTGGTTGTTCCCAGGAGTACTCAGGAGTCTGGAAATCAAAACGGCTTGCTGTGCGAAGCATACATCCACCCTATTGATTTTGTTTGTTTTTGTTTTTGAGTCCCACCCAGTCATGCTCAGAGGCTACTCCTGGCTCTGCTCTTGGAATTATTCCTGGCAGTGCTCAGGGCGCCATACAGGATGGGGTGGGGGACATGGGGAGGCGTGGAATGTGGGTTGGCTGCATGCAAGGCACCCTCCCGGCTGTATTATCACTCTGGCCCCACATTCATCCTCTTGAGCATTGAGCTCTCACTGGCCTCGCTGAAGCTCTGCCTGTCTGCTGACCAATTCTTGGGGCCACAGGGAATTTCTGTTGACACCTCAGTCAGATGTATATAAGCACCTCGCAAAGGGATCAGGCATCCTCCCTCACCCAACCAGTACAACGAAAATGAGCCCTAGAGCCAGGAAGTGCGACCTCTGGCGGCAGCTCTAATGAGCACGGCCATAATATCTGTTTCTCAAGCCGGGGTTTGAGTCCCTTCCAACACGCCTGCAAGCCCTGTGCACAACTGAAGGTACCTACCCATGGCAGCACAGCCAAGCGTGTAGCAGCACCACCCGATGTGCGACCCTGGTGAGCGCCCAGCTGACTCCGTGCAGACATCACCACCAGGCCTATGTCCATCCCCAGCTCAGCAGAGCAAAGGGGACCGAAGGAGTTAACAAAGAAGAAAAAATGAGAAGACAAGAGGGGCTTACTTAGGAAAGGGGAGGCATATAGCAAATGTTCCAAACTTTTTCCTTTTGGGAGTTGGAGCAATAGCACAGCAGGGAGGGCACTTGCTTGGCACATGTCCGACCCTGGTTCGATCCCCGGTATCCCCATATGGTCCCCCAAGCACTGCCAGAAGTGATTCCTGAGCAGGGAGCCAGGATCCCTGAGCAATGCCAGATGTGGCCCCAAAACAAAACCAAACAAAGGGTTTCCTTCTAAGAAAGAGAGAGCTGGGACCAGAGAGAAAGCACAGGGGTGAGGTGATTGCCTTGCACATCAGGGTTTGGTTCCCCGAGTGCAGAGCCAGAAGTAAGCCCTGAGCCCTGCCTGGTGAAGAGAACAAGAAAAGAAAAAGCCGTAACACTTTATTTACTACCATTTTGATTGGGAGGTTGATGGTGCTGAGGGCTTATCCCTGGCTCTGTGCTCAGGTCGATCCTGGCAGTGTCGGGGGGACCATATGCATCAGCCACACGCCTTTCTCCCTGTTGTATCTCTCTAGACCTCATTTTATTGCTCGTTTTGGTTTTTGCTTTTTGGGTCACACCTGGCACTGCTCGGGGCTTACTCCTGGCTTCACATTCAGAAATCACTTCTTGTGGTGGTCAGGGGACCATATGGGATGCTGGGGATCAAACCTGGGTTGGACAAATGTCCTACCAGATGTACTATTAGTCCGGCACTGTTGTTTTTTTGTTTGAAGGCCACATCTGGCAGTGTTCAGGGCTTACTCCTGGCTCCACACTTATTCCTGGCTCTATCACTTCTTTTTTTTTCTTCTTTTTAGATCACACCCAGCGATGCACAGGGGTCACTCCTGGCTTGTGCACTCAGGAATTAGTCCTGGTGGTGCTCAGGGGACCAATGGGATGCTGGGGATTAAACCTGGGTTGGACAGATGCAAGGCAAATGTCCTACCAGATGTACTATTAGTCCAGAACTGGTTTTTTGTTTGGAGGCCACATCTGGCAATGTTCAGGGCTTACTCCTGGCTCCACACTTATTCCTGGCTCTATCACTTCTTTTTTTGTTCTTCTTTTTAGATCCGAGAGTATTCGATATGCCAGACACAGTAACAACAAAGTCTCCAATGGAGACGTTACTGGGCCCGCTCGAGCAAATCGACGATCAACGGGAGGGCCTTCCTTCCTTTTTAGATCACACCCAGCAATGCACAGGGGTCACTCCTGGTTCGTGCACTCAGGAATTACTCCTGGTGGTGCTCAGGGGACCAATGGGATGCTGGGAATCAAACCTGGCAAGGCAAATGCCCTGCCCGCTGTGCTATCGCTCCAGCGCCCTGGCTCTATCATTTCCGGCAGGTTCAGATCACCATATGGGGTGCCAGGGGTTGAACCAGGCCTGGCTGTTTGAAGACAAGCTCCTTGCTTGCTGTATTAACCCCCAGGCCCCCCACCCGGCCTTCATTTTAATTTTATTTCTTTCAGGTGCTCAGTGGCCATTCCAGGTTCTGCAGAGAATGGGTTGTGCCCCTCCCAGTAGCACTTGGGGGGCTCCTCTCAGCAGTGTTTGGGGCACCATGCGGTGCTGGGGCTCAAACTGGTGTTGGGCACATGCAAGGCCTTAACCTTAAGCCCTGTACTATTTCTCAGGCTGTTTTTGTTTAATTTTGCTTTCTGTTTTTATGTTGGGGCCACACCCAGCCATGCTCAGGGTCAGTCCTAGCTCTGTACTCAGAAATGACTCCTGGCAGTGCTGGGGCTGCAGGGAACGGGGGTGTGATATAACCATATAGGTTGCCGGGGATCGAACCTAGGTCAGCTGCGTGCAAGGAAAGCACCCTCCCTGCTGTCCGATCTCTCTGGCCCCTTATTTGATCTTTCTGCCATGCTGGGAATGGAATCCAGGACACGAAGGCGAGTGCTCTACTGCCGCCGATATCCCAGCCTCTAGCTGCCTTCATTTTTATTTGTTTTGGGACACAGGCACCATGACCACCTGCTGATGTCAAAGCAGAGGAAGCGTTTCTCTAGGATCTCCAGGACGATTCTCATTGAAGCACGTGGACACCTTTGGACAAAGAGCTGTGACCATGGGTTTATCTGATTGGCTAGAACAGATCACCAGCCCAGTCTTTTGGCTAAGAAAAGCTGAGTGTATGAGGGATTGACAGAGCCTCATTTGAACCTCCAGAAATGGGCCAGGGAGGTCCTCCCAAGAAAAAAGGACATAAAGGGGCCTGAGTGGGCCAGAGCCATAGCACAGTGGAGAGGGCGCTTGCCTTGCATGCAGCTGACCGGGGTCCAGTCTCCAGTACCCCATGTGGTCCCCCAAGCACCACCAGGAGTGATCCTCAAGTGCAGAGCCAGGAGTAGCCCCCCGCCCTCAAAAAAGGGGAGTCGAGAAAGTGGCTCCATGGTAGGCCACATGCCTGTGTGTACAAAGCCCAGGGTTTTCCTTGCACATGGGCACACCCACAAATAACATTTTATAGGGGATTGAGGATGCAGCTTTGCACATGGAAGCCTGGGTTGCAGCTCTGACGCCTTCTGCCCCTCTGCACACTGCCATGACCATGCGGAAAGTGGCCTCTGAGCACCAGCAGGTAGGACAAAAATAAAAATAACTTAATTACAAATAATAAACACGGGTTGGGGCTGGAGCAATAGCACAGCGGGTAAGGTGTTTGTCTTGCATGCAGCTGACCCGGGTTTGATTCTCAGCATCCCATATGCTCCCCTGAGTACTACCAGGAGTAATTCCTGAGTGCAGAGCCAGGAGTAACCCCTGTGTATCACTGGGTGTGACCCAAAAAGCAAAATAAATAAATACATAAATAAATAAACACGGTGTTTAGTAGAACATCACAGACTCCGGTTTCCTTTCTGGGCTCAACTGGAGAGATTGCTTCCTGAGGTGGGAAGCTCTGAAATT